GTCTAGGTCTTGTTTTCCCCACATTTTATGACATGGGTAAAAGCAATACTTCATGCTCCTCTTATTTCTTTTCCGGAAAAAGCGACCTTGTACACATAATTAGGCACCAGGTCCCTGGCCTCCCACTATGGGTGTCACAGTGGGTAACGATGGTGGGGAGGGATGGGTCTTTCTCTCAGTTGAAGATGAGGTTTTTCTCTAGCATCTGTGCTGACCCCCAAAAGAGTTGACAAAATTAAGGACGAATGAAGTCTTAGTCTCACAGTAGTGGACAGTCAGAGGCTAGCAATGACTCAAGAGTTCCACGGAGAACCTGGGTCTTTCTTCATTGAGGCCAGCTTCGGCTTCCTCCACTGGCTGGCCGCTCTCAGAGTGGCTGGCTGGTGGCCCCTTGCATCCAGATCTGCAGCTTGCTTTCATTTTCTTTCTGGGTGCCTGGGAATGACTCTCCAATCCCATTACCTCTCTTGTTTCTTTCTTCCTGATTGGATGCACCCAGGTCACCTGCCAGTCTTGGACCAATAAGAGGCCTCAGAAGAGTGGGGTATGCTGATTGGCTTAGGAAGATAAGGGTGTTGAAGAAAAAGAGGGAAAGAAACAGAATCCAGGCTCTATTGAGAGGGGGTGTGGCAAAGGGAACCAATGTCAAAACCATTTAGTTTGTCAAAAGATCAAGAAATCTGGATCTTAGATGAAATTTTCAAAGTATCAAATAAAAGCAACTAATTTAAACTTCCTTTTTTTTAAAAAAAAAATAAATATCATTCAGGTCAACATTGGGCACAATGAAGTATGACTAAACACATTGGTCCTTGGGCCTCAAGGCAAATAGAGAACTGACAGAGGAGATGAGGGAAGCAAAGGGTTGACGGAATTCCATTAAAGAATTCACGAGATGGTCAAGGACTCTGGGACTGCGAAGCTCTTGGTGTCTTTTTTTATTATTTTTCCTTCTTCCATCTTGTGACTGCCTGGGAATAACACCTGTAATAGATTTCAGTGGGCCCCCAACGGCACCTCAGAGACTTTTAAAAGGTCAAGAGCTTTCTTAAGAACTTAACTTACTACTCGAGAGTAACTTGGGTGCTAGAGAAAAAAAAAAATCAGGATGAATGTTCATAGGAAGTTAAAGCCTGCCTTTTTTTTTCCCCCCCTTAGGAAAATTCTAAATGTTAACAGAAGCATGGATCTGCTGAGAGAGCTACAGGTTTTCCGTTCCAAAAATGCTTTTGTTGCTAATTAAAATTAGTCTAATTTTGAAATGATCACATCATTAAAGAGTATTTCAACTGATATTGATTTGATGATACCTACAAACATCTTAGAATAAAGAGCCTGGTGTTTTAGCATTATAAGGTGCTCTGATTAAACTCGGATCTCTGAAATTGATGACATGAGCTCCCGATACCTCTTCATTCCTTCCCACCCCTGCATGAAATAATTATGAATACTTCACTCCATGCAATCCACGTTTATTTTATTTTATTTATTTTCTTCTACAAGGATGGGGGATGGCTGGATAAAGTGCTAGTTCTTTGCTGGTCTATACTATGGCCCTAGCAATATCTTAATTAAGTCTAGAGTCAAAATGAAATATGTGCCCCATGCATGTTTCTAATCCTTTCAAACCTGCAGTTTTGATGTGTGATCCTGGGCCAGCTCTTTAGAATGGTGTCTATTATGTCAATAAATCTTCACAGCGATGTCAGCCGGGACATCAGCATCTTTGGTGGAAGGGAGGGCTGGCTTTCAGAGGTGCTGGAGGTTGGGGGCACAGTTTCAGAGAGGCTTCACCCTTATTCCCAGGGGCAGGTGCTTTTTCCACACTGTCTGCTCCACATAAATATCCTGTTCATTCGCTTATTCGTCCCTCACTCGCCTGGCAGCTCAGCCTAGCCTCCTGACCTCTCAGTCTGTGCAAAGTCCAACTTCAGGCTGAAGGCTCCACTGAAGTCCACCCCATCCGGAATTCAAGCCAACATGGGTCCCTCCCTTTCCCGTTTGCAGAAGTTACCAGTGATGCATCAGATGGCTTCAGCCGATTCGGACTTTGATCCATTCATTTGACTCCTATCCACTGAACCCATCCTTCTTGTGAGACAGTATTTGGATCAGAAAAAATGAGAAAGAAAGAAAGAAAAAAAAAAAAACAGGAAGATCAGATCCCTGCTGTTAGGGCATTTACATTTTGGGTTGTGACGGGCAGAAAATAGCTAGAGAAGTACATAATTTTGCATTGTAAAATGTCCACAAAGGGAGCAAAGAAGGTAGCATTCCAGAAACATGGTCGACAGGAAGCTGCGTGAGACAGGAGACCAGGTGGGTCTCTCAAGGGGAAGGCTTTCAGGCACAGAAATGAGAGGGGGAAGAACATTTCCTGGGTTTATGTAATTTTTCTGTCTCCAAGGTCAGCAAATTGAAGGTTCCTTAAAGGCCAGATGAGATATGCCTATCTCCCGAGCCCTTTGGATTTCAGCCCTGGGCTGACAGATCTGGGCGGAACCCAGTAGGTCCTTACTGAGCCTAACAGAGGGAGCGAGAGACTAGATTCTTCCCACTCCCTCAAGAGGAAGACAGCAGCAGCAGTTCAGAGTGAGTGATGGGGGGTGGGGGAGAAGCCCTATCTCGAGGAGGGACTATTTATTCTGAGACTTCATGGAACCTGGATTTCACAAGTTCTAATGCACAACGATGAAGGTTGGGCACCACCTTCTTGGAGTGAAACTTCTTTTCTGATGCATGTTCCTCCGTCTTTTCATGCACGTCTCAGAGCATCCCGGGTGGCCCAACTACCAGACCCTCCTTTGACGGAGTGTGAGGCTGAGACACCTGTGTGACTATTTGGGGTCACATCTGCTGTTCCTAGAAAATCAGGTGCCTCCCAGAAATCCTTGCTTGATTCTTTCTTCTGTGCCCCAGTGGTACAAAGCAGGCTATGCCCTCGTGTCTGTGTTTGCCCAACAGTGGGTTAAGAATCTCCAGAAGAGTGGGAACTGGCTGGCAGGTGCTTCCACTGGCCTCAGAGACTGTGAGATGGCCATGAATCCGAGACTCTGCGGGCCCAACACCGATGCCAAACTGACCAGCAGCAATTTGCCACGACGTCTCTGCAGAGAAACCTCTGCCATTTGCCCAAGGTGAGTGGACTAGTCCATTTTCCATTACTCTAATGACACACCTGAGGCTGGTACTTTATAAAGTAAAGAAGTTTTCTTTTTTTTTTTTTTTAGCCCTTAGCTCTGGACAGAGTGCTGGCCTTGGCTCAGCTCTGTGAAGGACTTCACGGTGGATGGAACACAGTGGCAAGAAAACATGCTGGGGGAGAGCCTATGGTGAGACAAAAAGCCAGAGACCAAGAAGGGGACGATTCTTGCTCTCTTATAACAGCACTCTCTTGGTTCCCCCACCTCCTAATACCGCCACACTGAGATGCAAGCTCCCAGGACATGGACACAGATGGGGTACCGTATGTGCTTGAGCCATAGGCGGGATCAGGAGCAGTCAAAGATGGTAACTGGGCCTTTCTCATTCTGGGAACATCTGACAGAGAAAGTCAAGGTGCCGGGATTTGATGGTGGCCTCAGGATTCCAAAGAACTTCCCTGAGAGTGAAAGTTTTGAATAAGCCAATGTGGCCTCTGACCTGACATCCGTTCCATGTGCCGTCTGACCTGGGGTGGCCAGACTCTCGGATACGGACCGTCATGAAGGCCACAGTCCACATGTCCTCACTCTTTGACCCCGATGATGGGTGGATCCTAAGGGCACCTCCTCTACCTTCTCCTGGCAGGAAGTGCTCGTCCTTTGTCAGCAGAGTGGACCACGTGTGGGGAGAAGGCAGCCGACTTGACTTCTGAGGCCACTTTAGACACACTGTGTTTCCAGCTTCTTTTCCCATTGTTGGTGACACATCCCGAAGGAAAGACCAAGCAGACGGCTTTTTTGGTTAGGAACATTTCAAAGTTTATTTTGATTCTTCTTCTGACTTAAACAGAAATTATCCCAACAACTTTGGCGACATCTATTTTCATCTGCATGTGGTATTTGCAACGACTCCAAAGTGGAAGACGTATTTACACCATGACATTTCCCATGGCGCGCGATGCCCTTTGTCTAAACATCCTGGGACGCAGTCACGTGACCTTTGACGCTCGTGTCTCCTAGGAGAATCCTGGACGTGCCCTACCAGGTTCCTCTCCTCACTCCAAGGAGGAACTCTAAATGCATGACTCTTATTTCAATGACTTTTGACATTTCTATTGAGGTTTTTAAAATAGAGATGTGCATTCTTCTTAATCTTAGGGATTCTAATTGAAGAAATACCAGAAGTGAATGTTTTAAGGTCCCACATGTACCATCCAGCACATGGTGAAGATGTGCAAAGTGGAATTTCAACTCAGATTGCCCCTTTCCTGGGAGACCTGTTCACCCTGTAACTGGGGCTAGGGACGCTATGGAGCTGACCAATTTGCTTCCCTGCAGAGTGGATAGCTTTCTGATGGTCTGCTTTTTGACTCCTTTGGGAAAAGATGTGTTAACAGGAGAGAACAATAGAGTGGAAGAGAGTCCTCTCGTTGGAGAACATGGTGGGCACCAAAGTGTGGAAGTGTGTTCAGCCCTGTTTGCCTGCCTCTGGGTAGGACCGCTGACCTGTCCCTCAGGGTGAGTGTTCCGGGTGTTCCTCTAAATCTTATTGAACCCTTGGACTTGGGAATGCTGCCTTTCCTCCTGGCAGCTGTAGGAGCTGTGGACAAGATGCTTTGATAACCACAGCTTCCCAGCCTGAGGACCAGGAATGAGGCCGTATGTCACCAAGCTTCACCCAGGCCCTTGGACATCCTCTTTCCAGTGTACACTGACACAGTTCAACGTCCAAGGGCCTTTGACTCCATTGCTGTGCCTTAGGGCTATTTGTTCTAAATGCACTTAAAGTCACGGTGCTTGTACCCAGCAGGTGGAAATATCTGGAAATGGGCCCCCCAAGTGGCGTCTCTCAACCAGTGACTTTTTAAAATGATATTTTTTATTGGTGCACTATAATTATGCATGGTAATGAGATTCATCATGCCATACTGTATTTGCACAAAACATAATTTCATCAATCTCATTTCCCAGTGTCTTCTCTTATCTCTCCTCCAATCCACTTGCTCTACTCTATTGATCTTCCTTTTATTATTATCGTTGTCATTATTAATATTGTTGTTGTTCGTGCATTATAAAAACATTTAGAATCCATGGTTTTATGTTCATACGTGGACGTAGCATCTAGATTTTGTATTCCAGGACTTCCCCAGCTCTTCCTTGCCTCCCTCTCTCTCTTTTTATCAACTTCCTCTTCTCTATTGGTCTCCTTTTTTCCCCCCTTGAGATCCCTCTCTTTAATTCCTTTCTCTCTCTCTCTAGCTTCAACTTTTGAAAGAAAATATCTGACCATTGACTTTCTGAGTCTGGCTTACTTCACTAAGTGTGACCAGGGACATGCAAATCAAAACTACATTGAGATTTTATCTCACTCCATTTAAAATGGCAATTATTAAAAATGCAGGTAATAATGGCCGGTGAGGATGTTGGGTACATGTACACTTAAACATTGCAGGTGGGACTGAAAATTGGTATAACCATCTTGGAAAGCCGTGTGGAGATTTCTCAAAAGACTAGGATTGGAACCACCATACGACCTAGTTATCCCACTCCTTGGTATTTATTTGTAGGAATTAAGATCAACCTACTATAGTGATCCACACATAGGAATGTTTATAGAAGCACAATTCACAATAGCCAAGTTATGGAGCCAGCTCATCAACAGGTGAATGGATAAAGAAAATGTATATGCATTTAATGAGGTTTTACTCTGCCATAAAGAAGAATTAAATTATGGAACTGGAGAAGCAGTGACTCTTTTTTTTCCCTCTTTTGAAATTTATTCTAATTTTTTGTTTGTGCTTTTCAGTTGAGCATGACAGTGGAATGTATATTGGCGAATTATACATACATAGAGTATAACTTTTTCTAATTAGGATCTTATTGTTATGGTTGTACACTATGCAGAATTACTGTGGTACTGAACTTCCTACCCTCCTCCTGGCTCCCTTCCCTCAATTCACTTTGTCTAACCCAAACCCAATGAAATTCTATTTTTTTGTCCTCCCCACCCTCCCTTGTTTTGGGTGAGCATCAACATATCGGAGAGAATATTTCATATTTGATTTTTTGGGATTAGCTTATTTCATTAGCATGATTTTCTTCAGCTCCATCCATTGACTGGCAAATGCTATAGTTTCATTCTTCTTTATGGCTGAGTAATATTCCATTGTGTATATATATGCCACATTTTCTTTATCTATTCATCCACTGAAGGACACCCTAGGTTGGTTCCATAGCTTGGCTATTGTGAATGGAGCTGCTATAAACATTGATGTGGCTGTGTCACTGTAGTAAGCTGATTTTAGGTCCTTTGGGTATAGACGAAGGAGTGGAATAACTGGGTCAAATGGTCAACTAGTGGATCTTGACAGTTGCATATTACGATACAAATTCCCTTACTTCTCAGGGGGGACTTCCCAGAATCTCTCTTGGCACCAGGCACCATTGTGATAGCTGTTTTAAAGAAGCACTCTTAGCTGCTCAGCTTTCTTTACAACCTCCCCAGGTATTTCCTACATGCAGATCCTTGCTCAGGGTCAACGTCATAAGTCTTTCTTGTTGTTATAACTGAATACTACTGACCAGGTAATTTATGAAGAAAACAAAAATTTCTTAAATTTACAGAGGCTGGAAAGTCTGAAGTTAAGGATCCACATCTGGTGAGGGGCCTCTTGCTGGTGGGGACCCTGTAGAATCTTGAGACTTAAACAGGTCATAGCACAGTGAGAGGGGGATATTCCAGACACATAGCCAAACTGGCTTTTTATAACAGATTTTTTTTTTCTTGAGATACCCCTTTAACCCAATAATCTCTCAGCCCATGAATCACCTCTTAGGTCCCACCTGGTCCCAGCTCCTAAATACCTCACAGACCCTAAATTTCAATATGAGCTTAGGTGTGAACATTTAAGTCATAGCAACCAGTGTCTGCAGGAATCCAAACTGAGACTACTGCACTCCGAGAGGCCTCAGCTAGGCACCGGGGGGGCACGCTGCTAGAACTTTTTTCTTTCATTCACCAATGCAGAAATTCAATCTACTTTCCCTTCCTCTTTCCTGAACTGGTTCTAGCAGAGAGGTCAGGTAAGGAAGCATCCCGTTCACACCGGAAGCGAGGAATTTCCAAAGAAAGGTTCAGGTAGTGAGTGTAGCCAAGAGACCCAGAAAGGCTCCTGTCAGGAGGGAAGATGATTGACAGTTTGAAGAATTAGCAGAAACTGGAAGAATAAAATAAGATCAGCAAAAACACAGAGGTGAGGATATCCTGGGACTGAATGATGAAACACACGTAGGTGGTAGGTGGTCGTAGCTGGAGAAGATAAAGGATGTGTGAAAGGCCCCAGGCGGAAACGAGGTGGGGAAAAAAAACTTTAGGAAGATGTTAGAGGTTGCTGTGCCCTACCCAGTGCTCACGGATAAATTTAGAACAGGAATGAAGCATGTATCAATGCACCTGTCTATGGAATGACATCGACATAAGCCCTCCTCAGTCTAGCTTAAGACAGAAGCCATTCAAAGGCTTAGGGGAATACAGCAGGGAAAAAAATGAACAGATCATCCTAGAAGAGCTCAACCCGTCCATTGTGATGATAACAAGGGTCACAGTGGTGATAAATGCTGCTGTAGACACACAGAATTGGGAGGGAAAGTAAAATGGGGGCAGTAAGGATCCTTCACACCATCAGTGACATTGGGAAGCCTAGACTTCAAGCTTGGATCCTCTCATGAGTCTGGGTACAGGGGCTGGCTTTGTAGAATTGGAAGACATCCCACTTTTATTTAATATGTTCTAAAATATCTCAGGAACGGATGGGAAGCCAGGGTCCTGAATCTGCTCATTCATTTTCAGGAGAGTAATAATAAAAAAAAAAAAATTAAGTTTGGAGTCAGGGCAAAGGTGTGACTTGGCTTCCTGGAGGCCGCATGCAAAAAAAAATCAACATGGACTTGTACAAAGCTCAAACGTGTCCACAACGTGGTGCTCTGTACGTCTGCAAGCATCCTGGCCATGACTTCTGGTGATCCCCCTGTCCCGCAGAAGGATTAGGGATGACTTTTTTAGTAAAACAGTTTTTGAAATTTTTAAGTGTATCATGCACACAGAAGAGTGCAAAAAATCACAAGTCTATTGTGAAATAATTTTCACAATCTAAACACATCCATAAAATCAGGTCCCAAATCACAAAGTATTATTAGTATCTCCCAGAAATCCCATTAGATCCGTCTTCCGGTTACTACTCCCTCTCACACAGGGAAAATACTCTGAGTCTGTGTTAGTTATCCGTGGCTTAAAACAAAAGCACACACTCATCCTCTCCACCATTTCTATGGGTCAGGAGTTTGCAAGCTTGCCTTGGTGATTCTGGCTCTTCTATGAGTATGCCCATTCAATCCAGATTTATCCAAAGGTCGATCGACATCAACTAGTAGGAATAGTTCTGCTACGAAGGACTTAGGCTTCTGTTGACTTGCTTCATGGTTTAAATCTAGCGAATACTGTCCATACCCAGGAAATCATCATACATTGGCACGGTCCATAAGGAAGTGCCGGGTTTCTGTTCTGGAGACTAAAAGGCTCAGGGTTTATTCCAGCTGAACTGGGCTAACTGGGCTGCACGAAATAACCACACAAGAGACACAAATTCCTTTGTCTTTGGGGTCACTGTGACAGCTCCTCTGACCTTAAGGATCTGCAGGAAGAGAGAGAGCGAGAGCATGCGCTGACCCCTTTTATTGAGGAGAAGCTGTTCACATGAGGCAAGGGGTCAGGTTTCAGGGGCTGAGTCTATCTTCATGATGTCCACTGTCAGCAGGTTGACTGACACCTGGGTAGGCCACACCCAAGGGCACAGAAAGAGAAGGGGACACACACAAAGCACTTCCATGGAAGATTCTACCCTAAACAGGGCAAGGGGCTATATTACAAAGGAACAGGTGAGTGTAGCTCCACCCATGGGGCTGTAGCAAGATACACCCATGCACGAGACACCGACCCTCGAACCCAAGAAGGGTGGGGAAAGCTCTGCCACATTTCTGCGACTGAGCACCTCAGCACCCAGCCGGAGAGTGTGACTCGGTCACGTGTGAGGTTGGTCTCCCACAAGAAAGATCAGGATATGTTGAGAGCCACAGCTGAAGCGGCCCCAGCAAACTTCCAGCTGATTGGCTCACAGCGGCCCCAGCAAACTTCCAGCTGATTGGCTCCTCTGTGGTGATGCTCATTGGACTGTTTCCCTGCCCTTTCCGACCACAGAGCTGCTCATTGGGGGACTCTTTTGGCTCCACCCACGCAACTCAGCCAATTGGCCTCAAGAGCAGGAGGAGTGGTGGGGAGTTGAGAGGCTTGTGGGAAGCCGGTGGTGGCAGTTGGGCTCTGAGGGAATTCCTGAAGAGCTGCGTGGTGCGGCGTGTGTGTTCTAAAAATAAAGTTTGTTTCTGCTTGACAAGTGGCTTGTGAATTGTGCCCAGCCAGACTGCGGCAAGGATACATACTGTTTCTCCAAATCCTGGGCTCTCTGCTGGCCAAAGCCGAGTGTCAGGACCAGGAATCTTAGCCACTTTGCTAGTTCATGTAACATTTGTTTTTTCTTTTTCTTTTCCCCTTTCCTCCCAGGAATCGTCAAGAAGCTAATGAGTGTTACTCGTGGCATGAGGACTTTGCATGTTCATCTTCTCAGAGGCAAAGCCCAGGGACTCAAAAGACAGGACACTTCTCTGATTGGTCCTCCTATCTCAGAAAAGGTCGGAAAGACAGGGGCAAAGAGTCATTCCTGTTTGCAGCATCTGGTGGGAACAGTCTCAGGCAGACAGAGGAGAAGTCCGCCTGCTGCAGCCTGGCGAAGGGGATGGCCCTCCCATAGCATCTCCCAGGAAGAGGTGAGGAGTAGCTCCACCTGCAGACGGAAACGCAGGGGGGGTCCCCACTCCTGAGAAGTCCCTGGGAGAGGTGGGGAGGTTATGGGGCAGCAGGAAAAGCCTTGGAAACTCTTTCTCTCTCCCAGAAAACCATTCCGTGAGCGTGTCGCATGAGACCCTGTCACTTCTGCTCTTCACAGTGATATTCCTCTCATCTTCCAGGGTGGAGGTGGAGGACGGGCCTCCTTGCCTTGATCTCTTCTGGGCATGTGCAGCCAATGTCCACCCGCTGGGACCTGCCCTGTGGTGTCCAAAAGGTTTCTTGGGGCCTGGCACCAGAGTGGGTGCCCCCCTTCCTCCCTGGGGAGGCTCCCTCCACCAGTGTCGGCTGGAGTTGGTGGGTGCCTACTTCGGCCCCCTCGGGTCCCTCTTATGAGACGGCTCAGAGGTGAGTGTGGTACTGTTCCTTTCACAGTTCCCACTGGGACCAGGCTTTCCCAGACACAATGGCAGATTTCTTTTCTTTTTTTTTTTTTTTT